TTCCCCTTCAACTATAATAGACATTTTGGCTGGATATAGTAATCTGGGTTGGCATCTGTGGTCATTTAAAACTGGGAATACTTTGGTCCAGGCTCTTCTGGCTTTCATAGTTTGCACTGGAAAGTCAGCTCTAATCCTAATGGGTTTTCCTTTATATGTGACTTGTTGTTTCTCTTTTGCAGCTTTCAGTATTGTCTCTTTGTTTTGTACGTGTAGTGTTTTTACTGTGATGTGCCGCGGAGAGTTTCTTTTCTGGTCCTGTCTCTTTGGTGTTCTATATGCTTCCTGTATTTGTATGGGCATGTCTTTCTTTAATTTTGGGAAATTTTCTTCCACAATTCTCTTGAAGATCTGGTCCATGCCATTGTCTTGGGATTCTTCTCCTTCCTGTATGCCTATGATTCATAAGTTTGGTCTTTTTTACGGTGTCACACAGTTCTTACATATTCCATTCTTATGATTTCTTAAATTTTTCATAATCTTTGCTTGAGTGGTCTAGTTCGTCAACTTTATCTTCCAGTCTTATACTCTGTTTTCCATTTCATTCATCCTATTGGTGAGGCTTTCTCCTGTCGTTTCTAATTGGCTTACTGAGTGTTTCACTTCCTTTTTCACTTCAGCCTGAGTAGTCTTCAATATTTCTAGCTGTTTTCTGAATTGATTCAGAAGTTTATCCCTATCTTCCTTCAGTTCTTTGATTTCTTTGTGTGTTCTTTAAATTCACTGAATTCCTTTATCATGTTTATAATTGTTCTTTTGAGTTCCATGTCCTGCATTATCTTTAGGGGGTTCTCATTGTACTCCTCTAGAAGACTATTGATATTTGGTGGGGATATGCTATTTTGGTTTTTCACGTTATTATTTTTTTCCTCTGTGATTTTGACATGTGAATTTCTCTTGTAGTTTCTGATTCTTGTGTGAGACTCAAGCCATGAATTTCTTTTGTAGTTTCTGATTCTTCTGTGAATCTCAAGCTTTCAAGTTTAGATCTGCTTCTTTTTGTAAACTTTATGTGCCTCTGTGGTTTATTTTTTGGGCATGAAAAGCTGGTTCCTCTAAGCTTCCAGTTCTCTCTTTTGATTTTGTATTGGAGTGGCCAGATTGCTTTTGTCTTCCGGAGTTCCCACAACGGCCCAAGTCAGATGAGGATCAGATGCTCTCAGGCTTTCTCCTATGGTTTGCATCCCTCCAGGATAGATTTTGTCCTCAGGAATTTGGGGGTTGGACTGGCCTGGGAGCGGGGCCCAGGAAAGATGTGGGTCTAGGGCAGCTGGTGGCTGTGCCACCTAGAGATGCAAAGGAAGATGGGGGCAGGAGGCAGCCCCAAGGGCTCCTGGGGACTGCACTGAGGAGCTGGGTTGGTTCCAGAGAGAGAAGCCTGTAGGTCCCATTTAATGATATTTTTAAAAATGAAATTCAGTCATCAGTTCAAATAGTTACTTTTAAAATCAAATATTCTGGGGCTGGAGAGATTGGTCAGTGGTTAGGAGCACTGACTGCTCTTACAGTGCACCCGGTTCGATCCCCAGCACCCACATGGTGGCTAACAAGGGCTCCTGGGGACTGCACGGAGGAGCTGGGTTGATCTGGATGCAAAGGATCAGGAAGAGGAAAGGTTAGCTCTGGAATCCAGGAAAGAGGCTAGTGGGTTGTGCAGGCCCAGGGAAGTAGAGGGAGGTGAGGGCGGGGCCGAGTGCTGCTGGGGACCCCAGAAGGAACTGAGTTGGTCTGGGTGCAAAGGATCAGGAAGCAGTGGTGGTTCCCCAGGTGTCTGGGGCACCAAGAGAAGGAATGGGACAAGACCCAGGCTAGGAGGGGAGACTGGTCTGGGAGATGGGGAGGGTGAGTGAGGCTGGGGGAGTCAAGGCGCGGAGGGCGGTATGGACTTACCCTGGAGAGAGACCTGAGGGTAGGAGAGAGGCCTGTGGGTACTGCAGCCCAGGGGAAGCAGAGGGAGGTGTGGGTGGGGCCAGGCCCAGAAGCAGTGCTCCTGGGGACCTGAGAAGGAACTGAGTTGCTCTGGATGCACAGGATCAGGAAGCAGTGGTGGTTCCCCAGGTGTCTGGGGCACCAAGACAAGGAACCGGACAGGAGCCGGGCTAAGAGGAGAGACCCGTGGGGGAGATGGGAGGGTGAATGAGGCTGGGGAGTCAAGGCGTTGAGGGTGCGATTCACTTACCCTGAAGAGAGAGGCCTGCGGGTCGGAGAGAGCCAGCCTGCTTTCTTATACAACTCAGGACCACCTTCCCAGGGGTAGCACTATCCACAGTGGGCTGGGCCCACATCACTCAACAATCCAGAAAATGCCTCACAGACATGCCCACGGGTCAATCTAATGAAGCCAATGCCTCAGTTGAGATTCCCTCTTCCCCATGTGTGTCAAGTTGACAACTGAAGCTATCCAGCACAATATGTATGTGTTATATGCACACATACATGGGCAGAATTAATCCCAAGAAACCAAAATATAGAATTAAGGATTGTGATAGTTTGGGTCTGAAATGTCTCTTTGTGTAGCAATTTCCTTCATATTGGAACATTCCATCCTGGCAGGAGGAGAGAGGCTCAAGAGACTCAGGAAGTAAACAACCCCCCCCAACCCCCCCCACACCCCCCCTGAGACATACCATGGTTGACCTATGAAAACACACACAACACACACCAACACACACACACACACACACACACACACACAGAGGATACTAATACATCCACAGGCCCCTTCCCAAAGCTATATAGACAGTAGGGCCTGAAGGGGAAAAGGAGACTCTGCCTTCAAGAAAAGCTTCAGGGCTGCAGCCTCTGTGAGTTGTCACTGGGGTTGGGGTGATGCAACTGCCTTTGATTCTTCCCATGACCCCACAGATAACCCCTCACCCATACTCCTACAACTAACACCAATAAATTCATTGGTTTGCCAAGTAGAAGTTTGGTGGAATTATTGCTGTGGTCTGCCATTAGTTCCCCATCTGAGTGAATAGACATTTCCTTCCATTTCCCCAGGAAAAGTCACACAACAAACTCTAAAGGTCTCCAATATGTGCTGTTGGAAAGCAATGGAAACTTTAGAAGGGGGCAAGGCTGCTGGGAGGAAGTTAGGTCATTAGGGTGTATAAAGGGGATACTGTGACCCTAGTGTCTGCCCCCACCCATTTCTCAATTGACAGAATTAACTTTTTGAAAATATGAACGAAAATAAGCAATTCTTCCTTATAAGTTGACCATCTTGTGTCATTTGAAATATTTTAGACTTATACAGCCAAGCTGTTTTCTAAAAAAGCTATACTAATTCATACTCTGACAGGAATGTGTGAGACAGCCTATTTTCAGTATACCTGCCAGCATGTAGCATTATTTTTGCTTTTTTTAATAAAACATTGGAACAGACGGTAGAAGCTTCATGCATGTAGAAAGGACCAATTCCACAACATGTCCTCTTGGTAGAAACTTGAAAAGTCAGTCCTGGAGATGAATGCTCTCAACATGAAGCAATCTTCTCTCTGGGCAACACCTGCCTGTTCCAGAAATATCTGAAGACTGTTTGAGCAGCCACAGAGAATACTGAAGGAGTCAAGCTGAGTGTAGCCATGGGCAACTTGTCCTGTCTGCCAGGCCCCCTCCACCCACTAGAATTGATTTATAACAGCTACAAGATGCAGAAGGGCCTCCCAGCCTCAGGGCACGACAACAGACATTGGGCCCTACTAAATATACACCAGAGGGGGACAAAGCTGGTGTAGGAAATGGAGGAGAGGCAGGATTCCTTGTGCAGAATGCTACTGGCCAAGAACGCTGAGCTGCAAAAATTTGCTGGTTTTGAATACAAATAGCCACACATAAGTAACTACCTCTCAGTGCATACAGCATACTTATTTTCTCACAAAATCAGAACCCTGCATCACTTGTTAGTCATGGTGGATTGTTTCTTGTTCTTGTTTTACCATGTATAGGCAAAACAGCTTCCCAGCATGCCTTGGGCAGCATCTCAAATGTAGAGAACATAGGGTACCACCTCACATGAAGCTCTGGGTAGAAACGCAAGCTCTACCAGTGTGCATGAGCAAGCATGGTGCCAGTGGGTGAGCAGGGAAGTTAAGACAGCAGTGCACCACACACTTGTCAGGTTGGCAATGATACTCTGAGGTCTTTCTTGCATCCTTAAAGGTTAGCTTAATGTGTTCTTATCTCCATACCCCCACATCTCTAAAAAAGATACCAAAAAATACAGAGGCTGGTAAAGCACATACCTCGAATGTTATCAGATATTATCATTTTGTCATGTTGGCTTCAGATGTTTATATTGTGAAATGAAAATTACTGACTGCTAGATGCCCTTGGTTCTCCTTCAGTCTGGTTCACTGCCATGCCCCTTTCACGTCATGTTGATGCTTTTCCTTCTGACTCATCTATTTTCAGACACACCCCATAAACAATTATTGTTTTTATGCAGGCTGATGAGTATTTATACCTCAGCTTATTCATGCAACCGAGGGGCTGTTCCACACCCTACTGTGATTGGATCCCTTGGGGTTGTGCAGGATGGCAGCCATGCTCTCCACATTCTGCCCAGAGATGCATGGTGATGCATTAGAAATAATGTCTTCATGTTACCTCACAGCTTTCGTCATGTGACTGTGTTCCATTTTATATATTTCCTTAGTGGAAGGCACTTAGCTATTGCCAACAGTGATTCATTGAATATCCTTCTACATGTCTTCATATGAACGGGAGCATGTTTCCTCTTTATTCCGAGTTGACTGCCATTACTGAGTTACTGCCATTTACTACTGAATTATAGTAAGAAAAAGACAAACTCAGAAAAACTTCAAATATTTATTAGTATGAATCAGTGTGTGTTAAAATTAAAAATAAATGATACAAATGAGCATTGTTGAGAACACTTTATCATAGAACAGAATACAGGTGTCTGTGGAGGGATCTTTTTAGCGCAAAACCTGGGTCCAGCCCAGGTGGAAACCCTTTACAAAAACACCAGCCAGGGCAGCAGTCTGTGTGACAGCCCGACTGCTGGGCCACTGGGCATTACAATAGTTGAAAGAGGAATGATCCAGACACTAGGCAGGTCTGAATGGAGCACAGAACCCTTGGCGTATGGCTGGCTTCTCGCTCCCTTGCCATGAGCACTGCAGAGCAGCAAGAAGGGAGGCCCACACACAGCTCACTTTCAGCTGTCACAGGCCATAGCCTTTGATGGTAGAGGAAATACTTCAGTTCTCCAAACCTCCCTCAGGAAATGAGTGTGCTTTCCATCCGGGCACAGCCCTTACTGTCGGCTAGAATGTAGCTTTAGGTCTTCAACCTTTTAGTTTACAAGGTAACGTCATGTTCAGTACCCTAATGTACCATTTTTAAATATAAAATGGTAAGTCAATTCTGTACCTATGTAAAATGTTTGCACAACTCTACTGCTGCTCTTAGGGATTTCCACTGGGAAAGAATCCCTTTGACAATCCATTTCTCACTTATAGAACACATGACCATAAACCAAACCCAGCCACTTCAGAATGGAATACACGTAGATGGAGCTGACATAAAATCATATTTACACATATACACACGTACACATGTGGGAAAAAATAAAATGGGGATGAGAAATGAAGCTGAGGAAGCTATCTATATATAACCCAGGAACCACCTGACTCTGGCAACCGATAATTTGTAGGCCTTTACATACTCTTCGGTGGTTAAAGGTCAGTTATTAGAATAGTAGAAAAGGAATCCCAAATCAAACTAAAGAAAGGTGCCAGTGCAAACAAGGCCACGGCATTGATTTTCAGAGGAGACCCTAGACGGTGTGAATACTGGTGTGCCCGAGTGCCACCTACTCTCTGCTCCTCGCAATGGTGACATGTATGTATTTGTCCTCTGGCTGTCTTCAACAGCTAAGGCAATGCAGCATGGGAAGAGCATGGTTGCATTCTCTCATGCGCTTCTGCAACACAGCCAGGGGAGCTTGCTATTAGGATGATGACTAATTTATGCAGAATACAACCACTGTAAACCCAGCCCAAAGCTGTGACATTCTGTTGGGAACGGTACCATCTTGCCTTAGAAATCTGGACAGCTGGCTAGAGAAATGCAAGCTCCCAGGGTAAGCTTCCCTGACAGGGAAAAGGTAAAAAATAAGCCTGACGCCACCTGGAAAGAGGCCACTTCAGTGTCCAACTGCTTTTTCTCTTTCGGTGAGTGGATTCATTTCTTTGCCTGCTCTCAGAATCAAGTCAGCCAGTGATGCTGGCAATGTGGAACAGGCCCGGAGAGTCCTTGTGAAGACCCTGCCAAGACATCCAGATGCTGTTTGCTGAGTTTTTGAGGTGCCTGTCTTGGGAAGCCAAGTGACACCCCTGAAGCAAAGAAATGTTTCCCAGCTCTAGTTAAGACTAAATCAACTTTCCCAAGTTGGGCGAAGCAGGAAGAACATTACATTGAAACACACATCCTGGATAAATATAGTCTGTGAATGGAACCTTCCCCGTCTGCTTGACTACCTTTTGCCCCAAGCCTGGCTAAGGTTAAATTTTGTTGATTTTGTAGTTTGGGGTCAGGGGAGGTGTCTAGAATTTTAAAGTGGTAATATTGCTCTGGCTGACTTTGCTGCAACCTATGATTAACTGCTGTTATTAGAAGTCTGTCCTACAGTTTAGACTCAAGCATTCTGCATTCTCTGGTTAGTTTTCTTTTTTCCCCTCTCGATGTGATACCATAATATAGTCTCCTAATAAGACAGTACTCTGTGCATTAAACATCTCCAAGAGTAGAGATTTATTGCAATGTAGGGGATACTTGGCTGGGGGGTGGTACTCTGAATTACATTATATCTTCCATCCATCATTGCCTATACAGTAAAAACCTAACTGCCTCCTTTAAACCAGGCCTCCCAGCCCCCAATTGCAACATTCTAGTTTGATTTGGTTGGCTTGCGTATGAGCACAACTTAGAAAAATGGTCATCAATGAAAAGAGATGTGTAGGACAGTTTCTAATGCAACTTTTACCTCTTTTACAGGAGATCAATTCTCAGCTTGAGTGACGGTCCAGTTACACTTGTCTGATTTCCCTCAGAAGAGTAATAAATAAAAGCTTATTTCCAAAGCCAGTTAAAAACTAACCTGAATCTGCCTTTTTGTGAAGGCCGGCCAGGTAAGGAAGGCTCTGGCCCTGGAGAAGTTACTGGAGTTTGACTAGGTGACATGGGAAATCAGAGAACAGTACTTCAAGGCTTGTGTACAAATGTAAAAATTTTTCTAATACTTTTAACAAAAGTTGTAACTAACCCTGTTACCTAATGGGCATATAACCCCTGCTATGTAATTTCATGAACTGAAGGCAAGGCCATATTGTGGTCATGTGATAAGTTTTCCATAATCCCTTTTCAGGGATATTTCTGAGCCTCCTGCAGGTCTTCCAGGATGCAAAGCTGCTCACTCCATAGAGGGTGAGGAGGCAAAAGGCTCACACCCCAGAAGAGGGATCTGGTTTTCTCTTTTACACTCTGCATGCCATGGCCCTTGGGTCAGCAGCACCGCCGGCTGGCTTGCAAGTTCTGGTTCCCAAGTTTGATCCCACTGCTGTTTCCATTTTCATGAGGGTCCAAGGGTGGGATCTGGCGGCCTGGAACAAAAGGGAGGCTGAGGTGAATTTCTTTTCCCAGTGAATACTGCACACATAGGTTTAACACATCTACCTAATTTTTGGGTTGTGCATAAACTAGAAGTGCTCAAGGAGTGGCTGGCTCCTGTCCTTCTCCTTCCTTTCCTTTTCTTCCTTCCCTCCCTCCCTCCCTCCCTCCCTCCTTCCCTTTCGTTTTTTTCCTTCTCTCCTCTTTCCTTCTTTTTTTCCCAGCTCTTCTGCATGAAGTCAAATCATGTTTAAGAGGTTGAGGAAAAGCCCCAGCAGTTTCCCAACCATGCAGACATCTTGGGAGCGGGAGCAGGCAGCCCACTCTGGGGTGGCAGATCCACCTGGCCCCTCAGCCCCCAGAGTACTCCTGGCCTCCAGTCTTCCTGTGGAGCCCCTGCTTCAACAGTAACAGTGGGCACTCATCCGTCTTTTCTGCTTCTCAAAATAGAAATGGACTGGGAATTGCAACCTTCCTAGCACTACCACGAGATGACACTTTGCTCGCCAGCTCATCCACTATCCTACCAGGGTACTCAGATCATTCACTAGACAGACCCGGGAGACACTCTTCACAGGGAGCAGTACTGTAATGTCATGTACAAGCCATTTTAACTTCATTGAATTCTGAAATTATCTTTTATAAACACAAAGTATAAGACAGGGGAAAGGGTAGAGAACATCAGTTAAAGGGCTGGGTTTGTAATGGACTATACTGATGGTCACATGTCTCTGCAAATATATTAAAAACAACTGAATTGTGTACTTGGCATGGGTGGAATGCATGGCATGTGAATTTCAACCCAGCAGAGTGTTTTTCTAGAAAAGCAATGGAGTCTGGAACAGCAACTGTAGGCAGCCTCACTGCTCTCAAAGATTCTTTAGAGATCCCATCTGTGAAGTCCTGTGATGGCCACTATGACCATCATTTACTATGACTCAGAGAACACGGGTTATGTGCTGAAGGCCATGCCAACAGTAAATGTGTAGGTGGTTCTTATTATAACCCACATCTGGATTTTCTGATGGATCCTCAACCCTGTGTTCTTCTCACTGCCTCATATTTATATTTCTCTCTCTCTCCCTCCCTCCCTCCCTTTCCCTCCTTCCCACTCTCCCTCACTCTTCTATCTTTCCACTGGCCCTGAAAAAAAAGCATGACATACTAAGTCTAAAATGAGTATTAAAAAAAAACCAAAAACCAAAAAACAACTGATTAGGTCCTGTTCTAATTTGCTAGGTACCCAGTACTTAGAAGTGGAAGGGAAATTGTTTCCAAAGACAAAGGTTTTTTTAAGGCAAAGAGATGCTACCTGTTTAGACCACGTAGACCAGCCAAAGACCCTGGCTAAAATCCCTTGGCATGAAGGGTAAGAGGCTATTTCAGAGGTATTAGTGTACTGTGTGATATATGTCAAATCTCGAACACCAAGAAAAAGTTACTAGCATTTGATCCAAAGTTAATGGAAAAGTGCATCTAATATGGAGCAGATGGAGAGTTTGCAAGTGTTTCTGTAGCCACAGCTTCTGCCTTCTGTATAGCCAACAAGCTACACAGTACTTTGTTATTTTTCTACTGCTGTGATAAAACAAAAACAAAAACAAACAATAAAAAAAACCACCATGGCCAAGACAGCTTATAGAAGAAAGAGTTTATTTGGGGCTTATGGTTCTAGAGAGTAAGTCCATCATGGTGGGGGCAGTGTGGCAGGAAGCAGGTGTGGCAGGAGGCAGCCAAACAGAAAGCAAAAAGTAGAGAGAGTAAGCAGGAAGTGGAACCAGGCTATGAACTCTCAAAGCCCACCCCCAGTGATGTGCTTCCTCCAGCAAGGCCTCACCTCCAAGACCTTCCCCAAACTCCAACTGTGGACTATATATCAAATGTTCAAATATCTGAGCCTATGGCAGACATTCTTCATTCAAACCACACTATCCTCAACAGAATTCAGCCCTGATCCAGAAACAACAGGATAGTAAGTATTGCACTTCCCTCTTCTAGACAAGCCCCCATCCTTAGTCATACTTGAAAGGAAGTAAACACAATGTCTTTTCTACTTTGTCAGCTGTGGTGGTTTGAATGAGAATGTCCCCCATAGGCTCCAAGCATTTGGACATTTTGTCCCTAGTTGGTGGCACTGTTTTGGGAGGCCTTAAAGGTGTGGCTATGCTGGAGGTAGCAAGTTCTTAAGCCTTGCCAGATCTCCAGTCAACTCTCTTGCTTCCTGGTGCCTGCTTGAAGATGTAGAGCCTAACTTCTGCTCCCCCTCCTGCCACCTCTGCCACCATGCCTCCCACCATGATGGACTCTTGTCCTTTGGAACAGTAAGCTAAAAAAAAACTCTTCCTTCTATAAATTGCTTTGGCCAGTGTTTCTTTTACAGCAGCAGAAAAGTAACTAATACATCAACCTTAAGTAGTAAATAAAAATATAGTCCCTATCTAAGGATTTATTCCAGTCACAGCCTCCCAATAAAATGCTTACTCCTCAGGAGACAGTGATGTATTCAGAGACTAACAGTGTCAAGCTACATCCTAGGTTAAATACATACTGCTTTACAAGGGCTTTAGCTATTGCCTCTAAAAGATTTTTTGATAATATCATTCTGATTAGTATAAAATGTTACCCTGGTTTTAAAAGACAGGAACTGTTTACAGATCAGTATGAGGAGTTGAAATTTTAACATCTGTGACAATAACACAATCCATGTCCCATATTAGATGGATTTCATGTTGTCTTATATGAACAATAACACTAGCAAAATTGCACTCCCCTTTCAGTCCTCCTTTACATGGTTTCCTTTACATTCCTTGCATAATTTTTCCCTATGTGAAATGCCCCAGATACACAGTCTATAGGTGATATGTTCATTAAAGTGATGCAGGTATAGTGAGACTCTAGAAACACAGAGCATGCCAGGAGCACAGCAGGAATGCTGGGTGTGTACCTTCCCTCACCCTGTCCTTCCTCCTCCCTCTTTCCTGCTCCCACTTTTCTCCAAGTAGACAATAAGCAACAACGTTGTATTTGCAAACTGCCTCTTCTCATGTCTTAAAGAGTTTGGGATAAAATTATAATTCAGATTAGTACAAAACGTGGTGTTTCTTTGAACCAGTTGTTGAATCTGGCTTCTTCGAGGTGCCAGATTCTTCTACCATCCATAATATTCAAAACCTCACTTATGAGAATTAAATACAGAATATGGATCTGAGTCCCAGGAATACCCGCTGAAGTTTCCAGGTTCTTGTGTCCTGGGACAAAGAACTGTACTGGACACATATCATCAGTAATAGAACTAGAGGCTGTTTACTAAGAAAAAGACACTTCAGATAATGGGAGTGAGCTAGTAAGCTGGAAAAGGTAGAAGCTGAAAAAGCAGTAGGCCACTATGCTCATGAACCTTTATAGGTCATTTGCCCAGGTCATTTGCATATATTTACATAGGCCATGGCTTTTCTCCCAGGTGCAGTTTGTTCCTTATAGCAGGGGCAGGGAAGGATTGCCAGTCTTTTTTTGTTAATTAGCTTCTTTCATAGGTTAATCTTGATGCCTCTCTCTAGTCCCTACCCTCCTGCCACAGCCCCTATCCACAGGAGGTATGAACTCCCTGACCCTCCAGTGGATGCCTGAAACTAGAGATAGTACCAAATGCTATAGAGATGGGTTTTTTCCCATATATAT